TTTTAATAAATGTTTCTTGTGATTTTTTCTCTACTTGTCTGTTGCATGAAATTGGCAACACAATTTTTGTTAATCAACCTAAATTTAGAAAAAAAAATACTAAATATTTTGTAGATAAATGTCATGTTTCATGATATAATTATAGGAATGATACTCCCACAATGCTGATTTTTTTCCCATCTTCACGCTCCTTCCTTGACACCGTTCTGCATTCAGTCGACATCTTTTTGATTTTTACTTCATTTTTTGTATCGGCACGCTATGAATCCTCCTCCCAAAGCCACTTACAACAATGTCGATGGCTTGAAGTATATGTGTGTACAATATGCAATAGTTCATCTCTATAGTGTCATCACCACGCAATCGGATTACAAGATGGACATTCTATTGCTGTAGTCCGGCAAGTTTGATAAACGTGATGATCGCCCTGGTATAATGGAGAAGACACACTAGCGTCCTTTGAGCTCTGTCCCGTAAAACCTATTTTTATATTTATTAAAAAAATTAAAATAGCCAAAAATTGAAGTATGATTAACCTATACATAGATAAGTCTAGCTAGTTAAAACTAAATTTATCTAGCCAAGACTAAGTTCAGCTATAATGTTTACACTTGGCAAAATAATTAGAGAAATTCTAGAAGATTATAGTAAACACTTCTATTTTGTCGTTTACAAACATTTAAATTCCAAGATAAAATCTGATTAGTTGATTTCATGTATGAAATATCATTGATTACACTAAAATCAATGTTGACTTAGAAACAAGATAAGCTTCTAAAAGTTTGAAAGCCTCCAATGGCATGTCGCCATTTGAACCTAAGGATTGATTAGCTTCAGAAGGTTTAGGTAGATCAATGGCATGTTGTCAAGCATGGAGAGTTAGTGTGAACTACCAAGATTTATCTTTGTAAAAGTCAGTTTGATAGGAATCACCATTTGTTATGATGGTAATTTCTCAAGTAATATATATAGAAAGGTAGGGAAGAGTCAATCAAGCAAGTTTGGAGATTTCATTATGTAGATACTTGTTTCATTAATGAAATAATGAGGTTTTCATTATCTTGAAGTGTCAATGTACGTGAGGAGTGGACAGATTGTGTGAAAGTGTGCTTTGAATATGAGCATTAGACAAAATCTTAGCCTTGTAGTTACATGATGAGCTATCAAAAAGCCATCAAAGGTTAATCCTAGTGAGACTCAACGAGGATAAGGACTATAACTAGTGTTTTATGGGAGGAAGAATGAAGATGTAAAAGCTTTTGTTAAAGACTTCAAGAGGGCTTGCAGAGAAATCAATGAGAGAAAGAAGAACAAATGGACTATGATTTTTTTGGATTTTTTTAGAATTTCATTCCTCAAATGATACAAAGACTACAAGAGCAAGTATTTGAAGGAGTACACCTGGAAGACATTGACAAAAAATCTAATTGAAAATTTTCTTGCCAATGAAAGTTACAAAAAGTTGAAGTGTGACAAAGTAACAACAAGAAAGTGAGATTTTATGTAAAGAAATCAAAAGGTTGAAGTAAAGATTCCACGTGATGTTGAGAAAAGATGTAGACAAAGTGGATTCTACAATTGTGAGTATAAAGGTGATGTTCACAAAATTTTTGTTGAAGGTTTGAAACAAAAAATTCAAACTTAGGTGAAATATGGTATAACATCTTCTAAAGCTGAAGCCATTTGAATTGCTATGAGAATGGAAGAAAGTTTAGAAGATGATGACTCTAGTTTGGTGGCTAGAGAATTAGCTTCCAATGTTGTAGTTAAACAAACTAATTCAAATCTTGCTAGTTCCTTCACAATGATTACTTCCAATGTAGATTTTTAAAATAAGTTGAAATCTATTACGGAGACTCTAGCGTATCTCAAGATTAATGTAGTGTAGTTGTGGAAGAATAGGAATCAAAATGTAGAGCAAGATTTTAGGGGGTATGGAAATTATGATTCAAGAGTAAATTCACCTCAAGTGAACTTTGCGATTTTTTGTTTTATATATGACGAACCTTATTTTCAATGAAATTGTTCTAACCTTCAACTACATGATGAAATACAACACAACAACAATGCATCGGCCACAGAACAAGCTAAGGATAAAAGAGTAGCGCCCATTGATGAATTCTCTCATCAATACACTTTTAAGAAAGTAGAAAACTCAAAGTCAAAGTTGTATATTCTTGCGCATGAAAAGAAACGTGTTCGATTTGTATATGAGTCATTTTCCATGGAGTATATGCCAAGTCATAGTACACGGTCAACTGGAGTGATTCAATCAAGAGTACTAAAGAAGAAATTGGGCAATGTCAAGATTTTCACATATAGTTCAATTTTTGCGATTTCTTCAAAGAGTAACATAGATGATTATGCCCAAATGATTGTTTTCACCACAAAAATAATGAAATCTGCAAAGAAAAAAAGCTTTTGTTGTAAAGAGTGTACTTCAAAAAGAAGCAAGGGGGCATGTTCAACCGACAAAGAAGCTGAAGTAGCAAATTTTTCAAAAAAGTTGTGAAGACTTCAGATGTCACTCATGTGATAACAAAAAATGTGATCATAGCAAAATTTTTGCCACTCCAATAGCTCAATAGATTATGGATGTACTTTAAAAATAGAAACGTGAACTAAATGGTCGACGTGTCTTTTAGAAATTTGTATTGCATGTGGATGAAATGGAGTGATTAGAATCAATCAGATCTCATCATCGATTGATTGCGAGTGGTGTGAAGTTACTGGTGTCTATGAAAAATTAAAAGAAAAGGAGACCAAACTCATACTCATACATCCATGTTTGAGATTGGACTAAATTTTCCAAGAATTGAATCTCGTTGATATATAATCATAAATTATTGCATTTTGTCCATTTACGCAAAAGGTTCATGTTGTATATAATGACTCATGTTAAGCTCTCGGTAATCAATTTTTAACAAAATCTACTGATTTTGATCTGTCTCAAAAAAATTCCGCCCAATGTCTCTTATAAACTTTCATTTTGATTCACATCATTTGACATATACTCCATTGAGTTCGGGCAACCTCCTGCTTCCACTTTGCACTATCTTCCTACGTTCATGGTAAGATCTTATGATCTGCATATGAGCAGAGCTTGGTTACTCTAGATCACTCCTCTTGCACCGCGATAGAAGTCTCATGTCAATCACGCACATGCACTCGAGTTGTGACACTACAACAAAAACTCCTACAACAAACCAATCTGTATCACACCGTAAAATATCATAAGACATTGGTAAAAACATTTAGCAAAATAAGTTGACCCCAAACACTGCAATTCAGTTTCTTAAACAGCAAAATATATAGAATTCGTACAACCAAAAGTACCATTCAAGATTATTTGAAAAATGAAAACCTCAAATTGTTGTTCTCTTTGAACTCATAGCCTATATTGTATAAATTGGTCTAACATATTTGGAAACTCTTGGAATCTCCTTCGGAAGCTTTGTTTACTAAAGCGCAAAAGATCGTGGCTCGTTTAGGCTCTCTCATCATAAAAGATGTACGCTTGTGAAGTTTTGTTCAACTATGTATGAAAGCTTTTCAATTCACATTGGACAGTTATACATGATGATGTCATTATCGATGTAATGTATTTTATAGGACAAAAGGATGGATAGATCACAAGTAAGGAGAACTGGTATGGGTTGAGGCAACCTTATGTCCTTGGTCTGAGAATCCAACTTAATGTTGTATTTAAAATTTCAACATTTAATGCAATTTTACAACCATAGCATCGAAATGTATGTACGAAAATTAATCTTTTGTTTCTTCACCTCATATTTTATGATACAGGAAATCAATCAAATCGTTAGTTAATACAATCAAAATAAATCTTAATACATTTTAGTAAACAAGTATGTATTATTTTTACAAATTACATTGACTTCTGCTACCCAATGAAAATGATTACTCGATGATTCGTATTTGTTTAAGGTAGAAGTCTAAAGACCTCGATAATTAGTATATACTAGTAGCAAATTTACAGCATTGTAATGCTATTGAGGACTGTAACTAAACCCTTTAGTTTCATTCCACTGAAACACTTGGCGAGGTCTTCCATCCCTTACGCTGTTACTCGGTTCTACTTTTCATGAAGGTGTACTTCCTCGTATCCGAAAAGCTTTGACTTTCTTCTCATACCCCCAGACTCAAGGACCGTAGACTCTACGGCGCCAGGAGGCGCCTTGTAAGCATCAAGCAGCTTATGGTCAATCTACCATGAGAAGAAGAAGAAGAGTGAGAAAGTCAGTATCTAAACGACATCGGTATGACTGGAACTTCTTAACCTCCATTAAGAAGTATTCACGTCAACAGAATAAACAGGATGCATGAAGTACACTATTTGACAGCAGATATTCATTTGAATGTGAAGAGCTTGAATTGCATGCCACTGACAGGGACGAATTAGTACAGGGCTCGAGTTAAATGGAGGAAAGATGGGAGGACACCACCGACGCGGGCTACACTTGCAAATCCAGGACTGACCATGAACAACAGTGGGTGCCATCCAGGGTAGAGGCTGATGCGGTGAAGGGTTAAAGGTAGAGCTGAGTTCGCACAGGCCCTTGGAACCACGCACATAGTGGCTACTTGCTTCACAAAATCCCCGGATGAGCTACACATTTTTTTTGGGCTGGGTTAAGTGGCTAGGTTTCTAAAAGCTACCAGGAAAGTCTAAGATGTTCACTTGGAGAGCGACGAAGAAAACATCTCTTGTGCAGAGAGGACTCATTCACAAATCGAGAACCTTCATTGGTTCTTTGACGTGTTCATTCCAATCCTTCGTTGATCTAGACTGTCCTTTCCAGCAGTTGTCTGAATGTTGGGCAGGTAAGGAAAACCTGATGATTTGGTAGCTTGACGACTAACGTTCCACAGCATACGTTCGTATACTGCAATAGTTGGTAACAAGGATGGGATCTTACTTCTCCCTATGATGAAGGTGACGGCATCAGTATCATTCAAACAGTATTCGTTACTCGAATTTTCTAACTCAACATGTTCAATTAATTTCCAACACTGTTCAAAATCGATGTAATTACTTCATGAACTCTCCGTGGATAACACAGAAGGCAATTTATGATCCCTTGCTGCTGTTTAGGCGTCGAATTCTGGAAACTGAATCTGAAATTTACTAACTCCGCAAATTTCACCAAAGATCATACGTACAGATGTACATGTGTAGAGGCATGGCGTTGGCATCCACAAAGGCAGGCAGATGATGAGCGCACCCTTGACCAAGGCCCGTACGCCCATCTACGTCTCAGGCATTGAGCAATTTGGTGCTCGTATTAGGGACGGCCTGTACTTCGTCCTTGACACCTGATCTGCAAGATTCTGGCTTCTGTTTCATTGTAAACAGCCGGAAGGGGCTCGCGCCAGATAACAATTACAGTGAGACGTGCCGACCTTCAAAATGTGTTACTAAAGCGATAATATAGACATGCAATCTTCTGAGGAACAAAGACTACACTGAACTCAACTACAGAGAAGAGGTCTCTGTTGATCTGATGCATAGTTCCCGCACGACAACAATTGCTGATTAAGTGGCCCTAGTTCTAAAGACGTTCTACATGTTCTGCTCTTGCTGAACAGTGTGCACAAATAATTGTGCAATGGTGACCAGTTATATAGTAAAATAACTTTCGTTTCCTACTAAAGAGTGAGAAGTCTTCTCAAAGAAGATACACTGACCTAACTCACTGTACCAATCATCAAAATCGCGTGACAGCACACAATTAATTGGTGCCCTGTAATCGAGGGTGTCTTATCAGTGTGCATATTCATCTTTTGCCTCGGGTGGAACACGATGAGTCCACTACCCATGCCAGGAGAACACCCTGAAAATTTGCGAGGTTTATCTCGGGACCTGTTCATGGTCACGCCTCACTGGAAATTTCATTCCTATCCTGATCCGCTTTCACTCCAGATGAGAGCCATGACTTCACGGATGCCCCAGAAGCAACTAACCAATCTGCCCTCTCAGGACTGGCCTCAAATGGAGCACTCATCTCCTTCAATTCTGCTAAAATGACAGAGATGAGACGGATCTCGTCTCCTCCCCTGTTTCTCCCGGCACCTGTTTCGATGACTAAAGTTTCGGGTAATTCCTGCTCCTCTGCCACCTGATTTCTCAGGAAGTTTATCCAGACCGAAAGAGCGCAGAGCGCTGTACTGAAAGAGAGAGACCGGAGGTGCAGAATCCAAACGAGGTTCGTGTGCGTTCGGAGGGAGCCTGGATACACTTTCAGGGAATCTGCCAGAGCCAGGAGAGATTCGGCTCGCTCCTTGTGGCCGAGAGTCCAACAGAAATCAATCAACGAATTGCAGAAAGGTCTCTGAGAATCCGACACGGAGTCGGCCAGCAGACTCCGGACTTGGTCCTCGAGATCGCCAGAATTGACGTCCTCAGACAGCAAGAGACTGACAATTTTAAAGAGACTGGGTTTAGCTTTTCGCAGGCATCTGAGAACAGGGGTCCGGTGCTCGTCAGTCTCGCACGCATTCATCAGGGAAAGCAGCACCCCGCAGCACCTGTCGTCGACCGAGGCTCCGGAGGCCAACATGTCCTCGAAGAATTGCTCCGCCCGCTCGAACTGCTTCGAGCTGCCGCAGGCTTTGATCAAACACGAATACACGACGACATCCGCGGGGCAGCCAGCCTCGGCCATCTGCTGCATCGCGCGCACCGCATCGTCGATCCGGCCTTCCTTCGCGTACAGGTTCACGAGCGACTTGTAGGTCATCTCGTCGCGCTTCAGACCGCGGGCCGCCATCTCCGCGACGAGGCGCTCGCCCTCGGCGACCATGCGCTCCTCGCCGCACATCTTGAGGAGCGAATTGTAGACAGCGGTGTCGAGAGGCAGATTCTCGGCCTTCATGCGCGCGAACAGCGCCAGCGCCTCCTCGACATTGCCGGACCGCCCGTGCACGTCGATCATGAGGCTCAGCGTGTACTCGGAGGCCTTGATGCCCACGGCCTCCATCTCCTTGAACACGCGCTTGGCCTGGCCCGTCTTCCCTTCGCGCGCGAAGAATTTGATCATCGTGTTGTAGACCACGGCGTCGGGCTGCATGCCGATATCCTTCATCTCCTTGATCACGGCCGACGCCTTCTGGTACTTTCCGGCGCGCGCGTACACATTCACCATCGAGCCGAAGGTGACGCGGTCCGGTTTCCAGCCGGTGAGGCGCAGAGTCTCGTACAGCTCCACCGCCTCGTCGAAGCGGCCCAGGCGCGAGAAGACGAGCGTCATGGTGCTGTAGGTCACCTCGTCGGGCACGACGCCCGCGGCCTGCATTCGGTCGAACCAGGCCAGCGCGTCGCGCGGGGCTTTGCACTGGAGGGCGCAGCTGATGAGCGTGCTGAAGGTGTAATTGTCGAGCGGGAGCCCGTCGCGGACCATGTCCAGGGCGAAGGCCTCCGCGACCTTCCACTGCCGACCGGCGCGCATGGCGCCCAACAGCACGTTGTAGACGACGATGTTGAGCTCGAAGTCGCGCCGCTGCGCCCACCGGAAGAAGGAGAGCGCCTTGCGCCACTTGAGCCCGGAGATTACCGCGCAGACATCGCGAGCGCCCAGACTGCCGTCCCAATTCTGCAGCGCCCGCTCCACCGCGCCCTCGTCCTCGCCCTCCGCGCCCTTCAGCAACTGCAGCACGTCCGTCGCGCGGTTGTACTTCGACCCGCGCGGCGCCCATCGTTCCACGGCGTACCGCGGCTGCTGCCTGTCGCGCTTGGCGCCGATCGGCTGCTGCCCGCGCGCCTCGACCGCGCCGCCATCGCTGCTGCCGTCGCCGCTCGAGTCCCCGATCACCGACAGCCGCAGCTGCTCGGCGAGCGAGGGAATCCTGTTGCTCCCCGAGGGCGTTTTGCCCGTCTGGAAATTCGGGCTCGAGACGAAGCTCGCGCGCTCATCGTTCGCTTGCGACGGCGACGCGTCCGAGTCTTGCAGCGAGACGGACGAGCAGCGGGCGCCTCGGGAGTGGATCCGCGGCCCGGCAAGCGTCGTCGCGATGCTGCGCGAAGCGATTCTTTCCCGCGAGTGCGAGCTCAGGTCGTTGCTACTCCTGCTGCTGCAGCTGTCACAAAGCGCCGCGATTCTCCCCGCCCCGAGCGAATTCCTCGACTCCACCCCGGCAGCGAACACTCGCACTCCCACTCCCACGGGGTGCGAAGCGAGCGCCATGCTTTTGATTCTCCACCGAATTCCCCACTCGCTGCGCTCCGTTCCTGCAAACTCCTCGTTCGTTGATGTTCCTCCTCCCCGTACTTTCCCTCCCTCCCTGCCCTTCCCTTCCTTCCTCCCTCACTCTGGCCCGAATCGAGAACTGGGCGAAATTTTGTCGAGGCCATTCCGAGAGCTCGATACCGAGCGAATCTTCGCTGAGTGCGTCCGAGCTCGGGTCGCATGTGGATGGAAACCTGGCCGTGGACGGAGACCCGACCCATCCATGGCCACGAGTTGACAGGATAGAAGGATTCTCTTATCTGCCCTCTTTGGATATCATTCCTCCTCCGCCGCTGGTCCCACCGCCCGAGATTCATTTCGCCTCTGAATCTCGAATGAGGCGGGACTCGGACCGTGGAATAATTTCGGGTCCTTTTTGTCGTGGACAAATTCGGAAGATCTACTCTGAGAAAACGTATGTAGACACGAATAAGCTACGCACAGAAAATAATGAAAGAAATGGAACGGATCCTATTAAAAAAGCAAAATGGAGGGGAGGCCCTATCAAGTCTTGAATGTATGAAAATACCTGGCTCTATCCCCCACCAGCATCACAAAGGAAAATACGAACTGCTTCAACTAATATATGACAATTATCTGATCCAATCGGTCGAAGTATCTACACATCATTGTCAAATCCTCACAAGCATCACGAACACGAGATCACTTACAAGAGATAGCATAATTCAAATTACTCGAAGAAATGAAGAGAATATTTGATATATGTTAGGGTATATATTACTGTGACATATTCATTACCATCAATGGTGAGATCACCGAGTAAAAAAGGGATATGGAAGGAATATAATCAATATTATGTCTCATTGCATTATCCAAAAATCGCATTTTGAGTGGATTGGTATAATTCTTCTACATTTTTGGTTTTTGATAAGAATAGAACAGCTAATAAATCAACTTGCATTACTGTTGTGTTTTGATAATGTTAATATAGGAGTAAAAGTACAGAAGAAATGAACAACAGAGAACTCGTTTCTGTATTGTTACAAAATTAGAACAACGATACATATATATATATTTTAATTTATTCCGTTTTTCTTGATTTTTTATAATTTCAATGTATTATAAAATGAAAACCGATTTAATTAGGTTTATTTAAACACTCAAATTATCTTCAAAGTTTTCACGCATATTCACGATATTTTTGCAAACATTTAAAAATTGTCATTTATTGATCTAATAATCAAATGATAATTTTTCAATTCTTTTCATATTAAATCTTAATCTCTTTCTTCTTACTGCACTAGAAATTAATTGCTTTTATTATACGATTCTGTTACATACATTGTTAGTCATGAATGAAAAATATGAGATTTAATTTAATCAATAAAAAAAAGTGATGAAATCTAGGATTGTGATAATCACAAAATATCCTTAATATTTGCTAAACATACATTTTGTATGCCTGTATGCCAAAGTCAAAATTCACGGATTATGTAAATGTGGTATATTTTTCCAAAAACCACAAGAAAAATAATAAAAATAACACGTTTTATATTGAATATAAAATTATATGAAAAATATTTTAAGTGCTTCATATATTTACATTTTTTTTCAAATTATGACTATAGAATAATTATTTTAAATACAAATTTGTACTTTCATCTGATTTTTTAATATAAATATTTCATTTTTTGTTTTCCTTCTAGGTTTTCATCATCAATTACAGAAATCGAAATTTTTTTTAATAAATTATTATTTTTCATTATTAAAACCATAATATATACTAAATAGCAATACTACTAAGATTGTGCATGCATTATTTGTGTTTATCATTATATTATTTATCAAAATTCATGACAATTTTAACATGAAGTTGTTTCTTTTTTACAAATTTCATTTATTTTTCGTTTATTTTATTTTTACTTCGCTGAAAAATATGCATCCCTTATGCAACAAATGATACATTTTTTAATTTCTATCATACTTTCAATCACATATCATTATTTGATTTTCTACATAAAAATGTACATTATGATTGAATATTAATCTTATTTTTTTATTAGTATGATATCAAATCTTGCATTCAAAAGTATCATGGTTGTTTTGAACTAAAAATTCCAAAATGTTTTTTTTTAAATTTTTTTATTTTTCAAAAAATTGTATTCACACGTAAAAAAGCATATTATTAGTTTCTGATCAGCCACTTAAAAATTATAATATAGATTGGTTAAAAATTATGGATGATTTTTTATATACTTAATGAATTATTTTTCTTATATTAAGTTTTGATATATTATGTAAATGAACTTGAATGACTTTTATTGATGTTAGTTTTGATAGTATTCAACAACTGGCAGATTTGGATCAGTAAAAATATTTCGAATTATTTTTATTTTGTATATTTTGGATAGGTATTGAGACACAGTTGAAATGCAAGTGAAATATTCTCATATAAATGACAAGTAAAATAATAGAATAGAAAATGTGCAATAATATTTAGTCATTGAAAGTTGTAAATTTTGTATGATACATTTTTATTATTTGTTATTTATTTCATTAAAAAATATATTGATTGTCAATATGATGATTACCTTTGATTTAAAAGACTATATTAGGAGATTTGTGCATGTTATGAGTGTTTAAATGATATTTAAATTTTTTCTTAATGTTTTTATTATTTAATGAAAAAATATATGATATGATGTTATGTATAGATACAATTTTTGATGATAATCAATTACATATATGATTTTGTGCATAAATTTAAATAGCAATATATATAAAAAAATATTATGCTACAAGATTTATTTTAAAATCATCTTCTGTTTGAAAATTCAAAAATTTAGTAAAGAAATGTCATAGATTGTTAAATATTTTTAATAAAAATTTTTAACTAATGCGATTTATGATGTAAGATTTTTATTAGGAAGCCAAAGTATTGAAATAAAATTATTTTTTTGTTAAATTTCAAAAGTCCAAAATGTCAAATTTGGAAAATGGTGATAATTTAATGACCCGATGTCATAATTTTTTTATAGTTTAATAAATAATTTGATAAACTACAAAAATAATTAAAATAAAAGCAAATTTTGATATAATATGTATCCATAATTTCATGCATTCTTGAAGTTTAATCAATTTTCATTATTCAGGTGTAGATGGATGAGAAGAAAAATTGAGTTGTATAAACAGTTTAAAATAACTTTATATGTACATGCAATTATAGAGCAAAGCAAAGCAGAAGAATAAACATATTGTTTATGAACATTATTTGAACAAATAATGACACATGAAAAAGATAGCAATGCAACCTTACTTATATAAAAAACCTTCGATTTACATATTTGTGGAAGAATCAGGATATTAATTGAGAAACAAATTTCACTCATTTAACCTCGAATTGTCTTTAATTTTTTTTCTTCAATGTCTTGATAATATGCAATTTTGATATCAAGAAAGTGCTATTTTACACCTAACTGTAATTTCCAACCACTTGAAGTCATCTGCTCACAAAATAGTTGAACCTAGATTATTTTCCATTGTCACGTAATCGTCAACTTTTTCCAAAATTTATGACTTTTTATTAAATATAATGAGATTTTTTTTTTAAGTTTGAAACTTTTCCATAACAAAAAGCCTGGATGTAACATTACATCTTCATGAAAACTTGGTTCTTAGGTTCAGACTCAAGAATTACATCAAGATTTTAAAGTTTTGGAATTTCGTTATAACCACAATAACCTTGTTGATACTCCACAATTCCAATCACTTTGCGTAGCTATGTACCTATTGAAGCAATGTGTATAAGAAGTGAGTGGTAAGAAAAAGGATGAGAGTACTCCATGGAGTCGTTTGGATGAAACCAAGAAGTAGGACGGGTTTAGATCCTGATAAAATGAAAAGAGCATCCATAAGATAGTATGATACTCTACGTAGAGGAAGTTACTCCTCCACACGTTCATCACAATTTGTTTATGAATACAATCATTGGTGATGAGAGAGATTATCCAACAATCTGTATGGTAACAATTTCGAGATAACATCTTCTTCTTCACTGTCACGAATAGTACTACGACTGGCCAAACCTTCAGACATTTGCTTCCTCCCATGGGAAGGGTGCATTGGCCCTTGCTTTCTGATCCGTTTATACAGTATGCTCTTATGCGGAGTATAAATAAAAACGTGTTTGATCTGCGTGCCTTCCGCTTTACCGTGCCAATACATGTACACATACTTGCGAGCTGATTTTACGACGTGGCATGCCGACTAAATTTTTATGGTCGAGAGGTAAAAACTGAGAAAGAAATTGATTAAAATTTATGTTTCAAACACAGTAATGACGTACAGAAAGTGCGTTTTCTTATTGTGAGATGAGTTTGCTCAATGCATCGTTGATACCATCGGTGACGCTTAATGCAAATGATGCTCGACACCTCGTTTACTTTCTTCAACTTCCACGTTCGCATGACCCGTTGAAAATCCAAAAATACGATCTTGACGATCGGCAAATGTGACTACCAGCAGCCTCCAGTGCACCTACACAGACCCCAAAAATGGGTCTTTAAATTAAGATCCATGTTAGTGAGAATAAACGTCTTTCGCTGTTTATCTGCAAATTGAACAGCATGCAGCGCAATAATACACACTCCCATCCCCGTAAACCACGAGGCTTGATGCTGATCCTGCCTCACTTTCGAGTAAGAAGTCGTTGTGGGATCCAGCTTACCAAACATTTCACAGGTTTTGAGAGAATTCATGACTCGATGCATCTTATATCAAAATTGAGCCCACTATCATCCTGCCAATGCAAAGAGTATGGAGCAGAAGAAATTTTCTCCTGCGAGGAAGAGATGCGAAGAACGTGACAGTGTTCTGCATTGACAGCATAAGGCAATAGAATCCCGGTTCTAGCACACGCCGCATTCAGCGAATGGAAAGCACAAACATATCGATACAAATAGCGAACGAGCGAGTGAGTGGGTGGGTGGGCGGGCGTGCCAGTGACGTCCCATGAGTAGAACGAGAGTTCCGTGTTTGCAGGCGAGAAATGAGGTGATGTACACGGACGACGGGTATAGTTCAAACAAGGTTTGCACTCAGCTGGTCCTGAGGTCCTCCGTCGGTGCCGAATCGGTAACGCAACAACAATGGACAGACATTTTCCTGAACTGAACGAATTCCGCAAAAAGGATTAATTTACACTTCAGAATCCCCTACACTACCCTACGCTTGGCCACTCCCCCATCCTCTGTGTCGTCCAGGCCATAGTTCCAGATCGTGTCGTGTGGGTCGACCACGAATTGCCCCCCGGCAAATCAAGGATAGGACGCTGACCTCGTTGCTCTATCTATGTACCTCGACAACTAACCATGCGCAGGGTTCAAGAATCTGCCTTGCGCTCGCTCGCTTGCCTGCCTGCCTGCCTGGTCTTCGATTTTGCAGCAGCTTTGCCGCTGCCTGCCTCTACAAAGCAGCAGAAGCTTCGACCACCACTTCCACGTCCACGTTGTGGGCGCCTTCCAGTCGGTTTTCCAAGGTCCAGGGCCTGCGCGCGTGCGAATTGAGGTTCACGACTGCTCCCGCCGAGTCGACTTTGCTGGACTTGGTGCGACTCGCTTCGGGTTTCGAGTCCGGATTGGAGGGAGGCAGCCCGTTGGCTGCTTTGCTTTTCTTCGAGGCCGAAGGCATTCCGGAAGAAGGTTTCGGTGCCACGCCGTTCTTGGAATTGGTGGTGGGCACACTCTTCTGAGGCTTCTTCTTCTTGGCCAGCGGCGGGGCCGTCCTCACGAAGCGCTTCGGCACCTTCTCCTTCTTGGCCACCACTGGCAGCTGCTGTTCCTCCGCGCCCACTGCCGTCGTGTGATCGGGCACCATCCGTTGCTTGACTCCGGGCGTCTCGAAAGGTTCGCCGTAAACCGCAATTGGAGGTTTCGAGGGTCCATCTGCTGCTGCCTTGCTGGCTTCGGTCGGCGGACCCGACACTTTGCTCATCGGCGAAGGAATTGGGCGACCTCCGAGGTCCACGGGAGGGTATCTGAATTCGGGGCCAAAATTGAAGCTCACTCGGCATACGTCCTGGTTCGGAAGCGTGTACATGGATGCCGCTGGATAATACGTCCCGTCATTGATGTCCGTGAAGGCCACACCTTGAGAAACTCCGTTTCTGAAGTACAGAATCTCGCTCCCTGCAGCCAATTCAAGGTTTCCGAGAATTAGGTCTCGAGCAAGGTGCGAGGTCCAGAGAGAGACGGTGACATCGCGAGAAAATGACGTTTGAAGCGTTTTAACCCAAAAATTTCGACCTGCTAACACTAAAAAGCTGGACTTCTTGATCTGGCATAGAATTGTAATATTACGAGACTCGCTCTTTCCAGTTATCCATGTTGATTCCACCAAATTTCAAAAATCACTCACGACAATATGTCCTCGGAAGGTCTGCAAAATCTGCTCATGAGACAGCTCGCCACAATGTGGCCTTATGGGAAAAGTAGGGTCGGTATAGATGAAGGTTCTCCATTCTCACATCCACGATGCTCGGATGAGTATACGAAAAATACCTGAAACGGGTTTAAGAGGCTCATCGGCGACGACGAAATAAGGTTGTCCCTTCCACCCCACAACTTCTTCCTCGGCTTTTCTGGTGTAGTTGGCCTCACGCGGAAGATTTATGTAGAAACCTATACAATCCCCCTCGACATATGGCTCGCCATAAGGCTCGCGGAGTGCACAATGTACTTTGCTACCATCTACGTCCCTGTATGCGTAACTGTGTGCGTCGTACCCAACTGGAGCTTGAATGTCTCCTCTCCGACTACTCCAGCCCAGCCTGGTGTGACCAGTCAAACCCAAATTTTGGACAATAATCTCGAAGTACCACGCACCCTCCACAACACCTCGAGTCGCTCTAACCATCCGATAACCTTTGCTACCACTCGCAGTGAGCCTATCGAGACTCAACTCAATCTTCTCAGCCTTGTGTATCTTCGAAAGAAGGGTTGGGTACCCTGGATCATCTTCTTGATGGAAAGGCTTCAGAATTACATTGTCATCTTTGGCATCAGACGGTCGAGCTCCGCCATTCTTAGAACCGTTCTTCTTCGTACTTTTGCGCGAAGTTGTTTTGGTCCACACATTAGTCCGCTTTTTTGATTTCTTCGCAACAACATCTCCAGTTCCCTCGTTGCCACCTGCAGAATTCTAGAATTAACGCCAAACCTGGACGCAGTGATTGACAATATTCTGTGCATCGTTTCACAATCCAGCCGAACCCTAAATCACAAAGTACTAGAACCCACTTCCCGATGGCACACTTTTCTACGGTCTTGAGACGAAAACATAAAAAAGGAAAAAATTCAACAATGCAATTAGAGAGCTGTATACGAAAACTGGCGATTCAAATGTCCTGTTAAGATCCTCCCGCTTTCGTCACAAACTGGGAAATGTGCTTCAACAGAGACTAAGAAGCTCAAAAGCTCATAATTGTCAATTAAATTGCCAGTGTCTGCACATTTAAGCTGTCGTCTCTTCTCATTCACAAACTGAGTACAAATACTACCGATAAACATGGAGCGTTTAAGTGTTTTACGGCAAGCTTATCTGGAACATCGCCAATTTGATCAAAGCATTGAGATTCCATTGATCAGAGAGTGAGTTTGAAATCGATGCAGTGGAAATCAATTAGAAAGGAATTCGGTCGGTTTCAACTCAACCCTAGCAGTTGCCCTCACAAGCGCGACGGTGAATAAGGGACAACGGACTGAACTAGGCGGAAAGTGCTCCTTCTAAGCAGTCCGAAAATCAGAGCAACTATACAAGTCCACTATAGCATTCATAGGGAGCAATTCATGAAGGGAATCATACTGCACACCACATTTTAATTGATGACAAACCTTCAGGAGTGGCAGCAGACGATCCCTTGGCTTGACGAGCACCTCCAGCAACGACAGACGTCTCCTCTCCTACATTATCCTCCTCTGCTTCTTCCTTGTTCTGTTCCACCTCATGCACTCCGTTTTCCAACGGAGAAGTTGGCGTCTTGACACCGTCCGCTTCGAGCCCGCCCTCCGAGATCGTCGTCCCAGGTGCGGCAACAGCAACAACAGCGGCATTCGCTTCACTCTCCACCGGAGAAGGATCGTCGTCGAGCGCTTGCGCCGCAATTGCATGGAAAGGAGACTCGACACGAGACATGTTTGACCATAGAACTACATCTGCACTCATCTACTTCTCGCCCCTCCCCTCCCCTCCCCTCCCCTCCTCTCTTCCTCCCTTCCGCTTTTGAACAACTTCCCCGCTCTCTCCCTCACTCTGCCCAAATTCCTCCCCGAAAACCCACCGCACACTCAGAACCTCGCGCGCCCTCCCCGCAACGAAAAAATCGTCGGGCCTCTCTCCGCCATACTCGCATCGCAGCAAGGTGCACCGAAATAGCTCCACGTCGAATGAATCATGTGCACAAACAACAAGCAGCAGCAGCAACAACAGCAGCAGAAGCAGAGGAGTTCGACGGAGTCGCCGAGACCTGGCGCTCACCCGGACTAGCAACTCGTGTCAAGATCGTCTCTGCGTTCCGCAAAAGCAAGCAGAGCGAGCGAGCCCCTCGAGAAGCAACGACATCAACTGCGCTCGCTGCTCGCCCGTAGCCCCCGTCCCCTCCCGTGCCCTGCCCTGTCCCTCGGCCCTCGGCCCTTCCCTTCCTTCCCTTCCCGTCTCGTCTCGTCTTTGGCCTTCTCTTCATTCTTGCGATTTCGCGTCACTTTCAAATTCTCCCCTCGTAGGCTGCCTGCCTGCGCTCGGGCTCGCGCGAACGCCCCCACCGACCGAGGCGAGCCCGACCCGACCACGATTCCGAACCTGATCCCGAAGCTACAGGTTCGGAGCTCGTCCGGTCGGAAGCGAGGGGCCCGCGTCACGACGTCGCCGTGTCTGACAGCACCCTCCGATGCTGACGCATCTGACGCCCGCCGCTGCTCTTGCCCCGTCCAGAACGCTGGAGCGTTAGAGAGCGTCAGTCTGTCTCCTCAGAGCGTTCCGGTCGCCGTGCCGTGTCTCCGTGGGAGGGAACTGGTCCCAGCAGACGAGACGAGACGAGACGAGAACAGAACGAGACGAGGAGAGGAGGAAAGAAATTGCCAGGGCACAGGGTATGAGTTTCAGGGAGCAAGGGAAGGACGAGTTTGTGAAGGGGCTCGATCGCGAGGGATAGTCCGGTTCGAGGCTGGCTGGCTGGCTGAGATTTGGTCATGGCCGTGTCGGTGAATGGAAGGGTAGGTGGGGGCTCGACCGCAGCAGGTTTGAGTGCAGTGCAGGAGGCCATCAAGGCGCAGCGTTTTGCGGATCTTGCTGAACTGCTCGACACTCTTGAACTGGAGGTACGCGCTGATCGGTTGTATTTTATCCTGTTGTTGTGACTGTGAAGAAAAATTCGCGTTTGGGCTCATGAGCGAATATTCACATTCCGTGCTGATGCTTGGTTTTGGGAATTTGATTAGGGTGTCGATTTCGGGGGAATTAGAGCTTGATTTGAGTCATTGATCGGCAGTTTAGAGTCGCGGCTGAGTAAATTTGATATCTTTCTAGGTCTTTGGTTAACACTTCTCGTAAGTATTGTGACGGAACTGAGTGATATTCTAGATACATTTGCATCTCACGTGACTAGATTCTTTCGACATATGTAAGTTTTGCGTTTTTTTTCTACATTATCGACCTGAATGATGAAGTCTGAGAGCTCATTTGCATTGTTGTCTTGAGCTGCGTGGCTTGGGCAATGATTTAAAATGAAACAAGTCCATCTTGTAAAAAGTGCAATCTGTAGTCTTATCCCGATCCGGAGCTGGCGAGAGTGTAGAGAAGGATTCCGGCCGACAAGATCCTCCTAGTTGCTTATTTACTGCACTGCAAAATTCTGGTTGACGATTACCTGGACCACAGAAATATGGTCCAGGTCATTCAATTGCTTAGTTGGAACGGGAAGTGTAACATTTCACGATTTTCTTCCATAATTTGTGTTGTAAAATTTCTTTTTGTAACATCCATTCGCTTGCCGACGCCAACTCATGGATTCTGAAATTGTTGTATCGTCGTTACATAGACAGCTGCTACTGGAACTGGAATTCCCCAGGACTGGCCCTATACGATTCATCTACTAGCCCATGTTGTCGTTGGAGACTTGTAAGTGAATTCGACCCCGAAAGTTTCCGTTGCGAGACTGATCGATTCTGGCTTTTGTCATTCCTTGCGATTCCATTACCCGTGCCAATTGCCACATATTGGTTCAAAGTGTGACAGTTCGAAAGTTGTAGAGTGTTTATCCATCAGAAGGTGCCTTCTTTATTTACTTGATATTAGATGAGCTTGAACTCTTATGATGCTTTCTTATAGGTACTCTTTATACAGGAGTTTTATTGATGCACATTATCCTCGTGTGGCCGTCTTCTTTCAGAAACAGTGCTAGATTTTTGTGGAAGCGCATCCCAGCTCCTGTGAAACAAAATAATCTCGAACTTATAGCTGCGTGGAAGATTGTGAAATGTTTATGGGCTCATGGCCATGCCGCAGTCCATGAGGCACTTCGCAGCTACAGCTGGAGCCCGGAAGTCCAACAAGTTATTTCTGCCGTAGCTGGTAAGCATCATGCGGTTGCCAAGAGGATGAGAACGTAGCTAATTTCTTCATTTTCGACTCCGGAGTGAATCTTCAAAGATCTGTGCAGGGTGCTTTGTTGTGTGCACTCGTTCATTATCCACTTTATCTGGCAATTTTTTTGGCAAACTTGGTTTTTGTTTCGCCGTCTTTGACGTTTGGAAGTGTCTGGCAGAGAATTATTCTCAGAAGATGCTGAAGCTTCTGTACACAGCCTATTCTACCATCAGCGTTTCAGATGCCGCAGGATGCTTGGGGATGACAGAACAAGAAGTTGTGAGCTGTAAGTATTTCTTTCTAAGAGCTCTTGTCGGAAGTCTTCCATTAGAATTGTGTATTAAAGTAAGAGCTTTGTCTATCGAAAGTACTGCAACGGTAACTTGTTTACAAGCAGATAGAAAGATTCGCTCAATTACAGTATCATATCTATTTGTTCTTTTGGAAGAAGACGGATAACATGTCACGAACAAATAGAATATCTATCTATAATTAATATATTACTAGATCATATTTGATTGCGTTCAGACGCTTGTAATCAACATGTCCCATATCTTGGATACTTAGTATGCATCCCCACTAGGAACGTACCTGTACATAAGTACGTAAGTTTCTAAGCTGATTTCAGCCTCTAGACTTCTATCGAGCACCAGTAGAGTCCGATCTAGCACATCCTTTCTGGTTATCCTTTTAGTGACATTCACCCTAGAAGATGCCTTTTTCGTGTTTAAACACGAAAGAGTCATTTTTGGGGTTAATGTCACCAAAAGGATAGTTTGTAAGTATTGAGCTTTCACCACCAATCACGTTTGGACTGTACAGCAATTATTGGCTTAAGTATTTAGTATGCCTTCTGAAGATCATCATAGTCTCTACCGCTCATACTGGAAACTTTAACTCGTTCTTGCAAAATATGTTCGTATGCTTGGAACTTGTTCATTTCTCGAAACTACATTGAAGGACAGATGATGAAGGAAGTGAACATAAATCGTATGGTTTCAGTTTCTTACAGGTTCGCGCTCGGAGATTTCGTTAAGTCTTAATCAATAACGTGTGTTTTGACCTGCAGATACCATGCAGCATGGCTGGACATTGGATCCTGTGGCGAAAATGCTGACGGTTAGCCCAAATGTGTCAAGTGTAGAGCAGAAGACTGATGCAAGTCAGCTGCAAAGTCTAACCGAATATGTATTTCATTTGGAGCATTGATACCTACATGCGACTCAATTTTGACCCTTTGTGGAATTTTTCAACATGTACAGTATGCGTGGTTTTTGTCGGCTACATGATATTGGTAACGTCGTTTTCACGATATTATTGTACTGCCGTACAATTGACTGTCATTTACCTCGAAAAGACGACTACCATTTTGGTCTGTTTATGTAATTTGTAGTTCGAAGTGCTGTATATTGTGAAATTGATGTTTTGAATCTCCTTTTCTCGATATTGATCGCAGTCAAATACTAATATATGCCAAGATATCTGCTTTCACGAGGTCCTTATGATGGAAAAACTCTGCTTCATGTATCTACATGCGATGACGCAATGTGGACCTTGCGTCCTGCAAACGAACATAGAGTAAACGCAACAGGATGTGATAAGGATTTTTAAATCTGTGAGTTTCTGAAGTAGTGTGAAGGCCAACCTAACGGTTAGCACGGAGCCAGACTGAGGTCGAAAATTTGGAATGGTACTGCACTGACACGGACCTAGACTTCGTATGTTCAACTTGATCAACCTTGTAGTGGGACATCTACTTCCCTTTCATGATATTAGTAAATAATGTAGATGGAACTAGTTATCTACATACAACTTTTGAATTGGTAATGTCTGTACACCAACCAAAGTAGAATTCAAAATAGACACTTTACGATGGCTCTTCATCGAAATATATGTAATGGGTTGAGAGTAGGTAAATAACAGGGTAAAAACGCAGTGAATGTCCTTGATATTGACACCATGATAGAATCCATAAATCTCCAACATACAGAGCATGTGATATCGCGCATTAGACTCATGTGATCTAAAAACTGAAAACTTGCAACTTGGAGTAGCGTTTTGGTCCAATTAACAAACTCATATTTTTCATATCTTGGAATTACATACATAATTTTCTTCACACTGTTCAAATGATTCAGATAACAGTAAAGAATTTATCTACTCTTGTATTACTATTATTATTATTTGTAATCTACTATCTATTTATTATTAATTATTATTGTATTATCTACTCCAATTATTGTTTTGTGTATTTTAAAAAGAGATTTGCATTTAGAGCAAAGTCGAAATCCAATTTAGGCATCTTCACTCTAATTGAGATTCCATTCGAGCATCAGACTAACAAACAGACCAATGATAAAGATCCTCACTAGACTTCTATTAGTGACACTGAAACAGTTATTGTCTCAAGTGTGATGTAATAGAAAACCGAGGCAGAGTATCAGTTTATACTTTGTCGGCTGTACCTAGTAATATAGTAAGAGGAATGGGAATAACTCATCAAGTCGTGAAGTATGAAACCGAAAGAGAAACATGGTACCCAGTTGCATCACATCCGATATCATACACCTGAAAAAAATAAGATTTCTAGTGCGCGAAGAGAATGTGGTGCTTTATTGACATGAAGTCTGGGCTCTATCTTTTGCATGCAGCATTATGGCGTTGCTGAATGTGACTCATTATATTACATGCTAAAACAAAATTCATTAGCAAAAATTGATATCATGCGAAAACACATAGTCATACAACATATATTGCTGACATGCTATACATTCATACATACAAATCATAGACTAAAGCATATACAAGTGTACAACAATTGAAATTACTTTGACTACGTACTGTAATAAAGCACAAAATGGAATTTCAAAAAAAATCGAGCCAAACCCACTCCACTATCAGAAGAATGTAAACCGATGCTAATGGGAATCCGGATGTTACTCACGAACAGAATATCTCCCAACGTTGAAGCTTCAACTCAAAGAACTAACTATTCTTTGGGCCACACAAGATGTTATACCCTTCACATACATGAGGGTAGTTACTACCAATAATCATCCTCACTAGATTACCTTCAAACTCTAATATGCATGGAACCACACCCAACTAGATTTGTACTCCCATAACATATTATATATCCTAGCAAACATACGTATGGTCACGACAATTGTTCTGCGAATGCACATCGTCATATAACATACATCACTGACATACCATACATACATACACACAAATCATAGACGGTAGCATACACAAATACAAGTGTATCACAACTCGTCCCCCTAATTAGTGGTCATGTCCTTCTGACTCCAAGGTAGCCCTATCTATAACTACATGCTATACACATTCATGGATGCGTAGTCCAGTAGGTTATTTATGTAGGATATATTGTCCCATCGTTGGTAGTATATTTGCAATCCATAACTTGTGAAGATCAAATCATCTACCACTACAAAGTACATCAAGGACAAATCCATCGTCCGGTTGGAATAATATAAATAGTTGGAGTCAAGCACGATGTGGTAACGTAGTTTTTTCATTTTTTTCTGAAACAATGAAGTTTGAAAAATAAAGTACTAGCAATTTTAAACTTTTAAAACATGAGTAGTAAAAATAAGAGTAAATAGGAAATTTTGGAGTAAACTCTGCGTAGGAGTAGGGATAGACAGGATCCTAGTAGGTAGAGCTCGGCGTGCGCGCTCTAAGGAGCCCAAGAACGCTGGAAATAGACAAGAGAATCCTGAGCTACGAAGGTATGCAACGGGGAATATGCTTTGACGAAGGCATAGTACCGTCTTCGGTGAAGAGTTTTTGATCTTCGGCGTTACAGACGAAGAGTCTTTGACGAAGGATCTTCGGTGAAGTAAAAAACATCACCGAACGGGAAAGAAATTCAAACACTTGTACCTTCAATTCGCACTAGTTTGTGATGCCGCTAAGGCGGCAAATTACATCAGGAGAAACGTGAGCTGAGCGCCGACATTCTGCGAGAGTGCATTCGCGAATTGAGAGGTCAACAAAGTCCGTGAATGAGAAATTAAGGAAGCAGCAATGGGCAAATTTTGGGTTTTGATTATCGGCATTGAAAGTGCCAGAATTCAGATTGAGAGCGTATCGCAACAAGCTAATAGCTACCAAGCTTGATTTTTTGCTGTGGAGATGGAACTGGGTTTGTGCGGCGATGGTACAAGAGTGGCATGACGAACGCGCACCGGAAGCTAAGGGACTCCGCGGCAACCCAGCGATCTGAACTATTGAAGATTGGACAAAGATACTTGGGCCGTGCGCAGAGGAAGATGGAGATTACACCTTCGACAGCGATAGTGTGAAGACAAGACTTATGCGTAGCTATTCAAGAAATCTTGTTCAAGCAAGAACGTGTTCCAAACAATGAGATATCGTGATTGGTTGCGCATGAATGTAGCGATGATCATGATGCAGATCCTTCGGCTCACGCGAATGACTTACATGGCAACATGGTAAGTGAGATTTGTGGAGCACGCGATGGCAAGGTAGTTTATTTACTAGGCACACATCTTGTGATTTACTACGCGCCAGCACATTGACGAGACACATTTGGGATATTAGTCAATTATATGTTCTTGTTATTCATCAACTTTTACCGAGGTATGGGTTTGTTGACTGCAGCCGAACAGAAGCGATTTCAACTTGAGACGGCGACATCGGACGACGAGGACACGTTGGGAGGCAATAAGGTTGCCGGAGAGTAGGATGAAACTGCGCTTGCATTGCCTTCGGCCAAAGTCAACAAGTTAAAGAGCGAGGTCAAAGAACGGTCGACGAAGAAGAGAAAATTGCATTGAATTATGATTTTGGATACGACTTATAAGCATGCTAGAATTTGAGTCCGAAGACCAGTTCTTACGAAGATGAGATCGGCAAACGTGTGTTCGTAGCAAGATGAAGGTGAGATGACTGCCGAGTGAGTAAGAATGAAGCACGGAGTGCAGCGAAGCAGCATCTCAAGGCCGGATAACTTTGGCAGAGTGGGCGGAGATATAAGCACAAATTGCAAGAACGGAGGAAGATGGACCTTCGGCGAAGGATCTTCGGCCTTCGGAGTGGAGACCTTTGAAAGTGCTCGCGAAAGATCTGCGGAAGGAAGGAGATGAGCAAGGAGGTGATACAGAGATGGAGACCTCGAGCCAGGGACGCCGACCTTTGAGGCAACCAACCGTGTACACGCCTTCGGAGAAAGTGTGTTCGGAGATACCGGTGGAGTTATCAAACACGGCGAAGAACCCCACTTCGTTGGAGTAACTCGTAGATCGTGTAGTGGAAGATGTGGGGAGAACGACGAAGGAGCAAAAGTCGATGTCATTGGTTCAGATGTCTTTGGGTATAGTCAACTTGGACTGTGGCGAAGGACCATCGTCCTGCAACCTCCGGGCTGACTCTCACTCAGGTTTACCTCAGATGACTTTGTGGTAACTCATCATAGGTCTAGAAGACTTTCTTCCTCTCATTATTTCCTATGCAAGCCCTCTTGAAATCCCTAACAAAAGCTTCAACATCCCCATTCTCCCTTCCATAAAACACCGGAAGTTTTCCTATTTCCAACTTTTTACTTTTTTTTTCTATTAATAATTTATATGGGACTTCCTAATACAATACTAACAACACTAACTCCATCGTTGAATAGTTCATCAAAGGAAACACAGAAAGAATTGGCTCATCCAATATAGCCATAGCTCTCTCCTCCTCTAGACACACAATGAGTCTTACCCTCATCATCATCTTCTCCATCATACTAATGATGATCTCCATCTTCAATTGAAGCTTGAACAAGCCGAGGTCAGTTTCTCCGTTTCAGCACTTAGCTTGCCGTCAAAACCTTCCACAAGTGATTCTAGAAGCGCCTTCATTCCGCTGCATTCGTGTCACGCCAGTAGTCTAATCACTCCACAGTTGTCACTAAAGGTCGCGCTTTGGGATTCATGTGGCGATGATGGTACCAAATGAAGTTTCAACTCTCCCAAGTTCCTCTTACTCATCATCGCATGGAACAATTGACAACCTTATGTCCTCCTCTCCACAATAAAAGCAAGTCTCACGTTTGACTCTTGAAGATTTACTTACTACTTTCTCTTCAAACTCTACCTTGAATTCTCTTGTATTGGAGTCTAAAGAGACTATAACATCCAAGCCTTGAGGTACTTTGGATAACCTAATCTTCCAACCCCATGATTCAGTCATTTTTCCATTAGGTGGAAACTACTCAAAAGACATCTCCCATAAACGCTATCTACTTGGTAGAAACTGCGAATAAAGAAATCCCAAAATTTTGCTCTCTTTTCCTGATTTTGTACCCCATGAACTTCAAAATAATTTAACTTTGTCGCTAGATGTGACTCTGAGTGAAATTTTGACTCGCACGTAAGAGATCTTCCAACACACACTCTTACGAAGTTTTCAAGGCTTACTTGAAGTACGGAAAAAGTAATTAATTCTATACAAACTTTCCCGAGAGTAAACTTTTGATACTCGTGAAAAGTTTACTCTTTTTCACGAGAAAACATTCTCTATCTTCCACTCTACAATCAATAAAAGATTACTCTCAGTGATTTATTTACTTTACGTAATTTTTGTGTTTACCCGTAAAAACACCCTCAACTTCTAATACTCATATCTTTTTGTTGACTCATGATCTTAACCTGAAATAAAAATTCAAACATTCTCTATCTTCCAATCTACAATCAATAAAAACTTTAAAAAATATTTTTTAAAAAAAATTGTTGGGTATCTAATAACACTTTTATCTCAAAATGATGTGTTTTACGTGAACGAAACATACAAAATCATTTCTAGTCTATCATATGAAACTACTGGATAGACAAAGAGAATTACTCTCTCAAACATACTCTCCGCTCTTTCAATCCCCAGCATTAACTCCAAGTGATCCTCATGGATGTTTTCTCTCAAGCTAAAAACTGAATCCTGAACATTTCACCTTCTAAATTGAAGTCACAACAACGAAACCAAAAATGCAACCTCCGGGCTGACTGTCACTGAGGTTTACCTCTGATAGCTTTGTGCTAGCTCATCATAGGTCTAGAAGACTAGTATTCTCACTCATATTCGTGTCCCAAACACTCTCTCACATAAACGCTACATACATCAATCGATTCACACAAACTCAAACACACGTCGACATTCCAAGATACTGAAAAATCTCACTCATTCATTCATGAAACAAGAACTCACACATGAACTCTTCAAACTTGCTTGAGAGATGCTACTCCACCTCTCTATTTATACTACTTGAGAAGTTACCATAATATCATATGGTAATTTCTCCTCACTCACTTTTTCCTATGTAAGTTTGACTAACACACTATACGTGTCGACATGCCATTAGACTAGCTAAACTTTCTAGAAGTTTCTGGAATCCGAGGTTGAGTTGGCAACAAGCCATTGGAAGCTTTAAAACTTCTATAAGCTTCTTAGCCACTAAGTCAACATTAGACTTAATCTAGCCAATCATCTTTTATACATTTAGTCAAACCAATCAAATCCAAGCTTAAAGTCAAAAGTCTAATAGCTTGAATCTAGATCTTTGTAAAAGACAAAATAGAAGTGTTCACTCCACTCTTCTAGAAATCCACTAATTATTCTGCCAACTATAGACATTACAGCTAAACTTAGTTATAACTAACTAGTTTAGTCATAACTAGTTAGACTTACCTATGTCTTGACTAATCATCGTTAATCACTTGGCTACTTCTATAACTTAATACACATATGCAATATCTAGTTTCACATGTCAAATTCGGAATAACTTGGCAATGTGAACCATTTGTCCACATGCATAGCATTGACAATTATCACAAACTCTCGCTCCTCTTTGAACCATTTTATTATTTGCATAACCCTCTTGCAAATTTAGAACTCATGATCGTCGAGTCTCACCTCCAAATCTTGAAAGTGGTCCTCTTACTGGTGCAAAACCTTTGCTACGTTGAAGGTTTACCAATTCCATCGATATAGGGCTAGATGGATGTCAAAAATTGCTTTTTGATTCACCATGTATGAAAAATGAAACACCACCACACCACCAGGGTTCAGAAACACCACCAGGGTTCATAAGTTTGTACATTTTCTAAAAATAGCTTTACATTTGTACAAATGAAGCTCTGGAAAATGTACAAACTAAGGTAGAGTGCGGTATAGAGTCCTACAGAGAGTAAAACACATTTGTGCTCCAGCGTTAATATTCTATAGTGTCTGTCACGGTCTCCGCCACGGATAAATTAAGTTAATAACTGATTCCTGTCATTCATTCTTTTCAACGTCTCTCTCTCTCTCTCTTTCTCTCACTCTGTCTTTCTTGGCCTTCTTCTTGCGCTTCGTTCGCACTCCACTTTTTATCAACATGGCTATTGATGTCGATGTCTCGCAAGGACTTTGCGCCGTTTCAGGCGTCGCACTCCTTAGAATTCGCTGTTGAGGTGATTGCAAAGGATGCCCACGGCAACGTGACATCCTGTCGATGCAAGTTTTGCGTATTTGAAGGGCGAGACAAGGTGGAGAAGATTTCCAATTCCACGCGCAAGCGCAAGGAACGTTCCGATATAAAATATTGGCAGTCCCCATTCCTATGTCATAAGTACCGCAGTCATCACTCTATCCAGCATTGAGAAAGCTTGCAACGCTATCAGAATCTGTCTGCCAAAGAGAAGATTACGTTCTTTGACGACAAGATCAAGATCCCCAACACTTTACATTGGTACATGAACATCAAGAGCGACGTGATGACATGGCAGATCAATTCCAGTATTGTGAAGACGATCATCAGCGATCTGTTTTTTTTAGACGACAAGGTTCTTTCCAATGTCGATATTAGCGATGAAGATGCTGATCCAGTCGATGCCATTCGTAAGGCGGCCGCCAAGAAGCAAAAGTAGAAGGAGAATGCGATGAAACTGTTGGTCAAGAAGCCGGCGGGTGAAACCGTTGTGTACACGGTGGCCATGAAGAACATTACGCGCTTCTGTTTTGCCCTAGACCATGTTTCGTCCGCCATGTCTTTTCACCAAATAGCACAAGCCATTCAACATGCGAAGGATCGTACCAAGTCGGCCAAGTTGACTGGCATCAATGATCACATCGTGGAACAATACGTGCGCGTGATGGTCGCTGCCTCTTTGCAGGAAATTTGTACCATGATAAGTGACAATTCGGTCTGGGCCTTCTCCCTGGCAGATGACAGCAGCACCCATCGAGGCCAGCCTTTCTTCAACTTACGCATGCGCTTGTGCTTCTATAGTTCATTGATGAATCTCCACCTCGTCGCTGTTCCTACCTTTGATCGCCACATTGCCAAAAACATGTTCATCATAATCTTCAAGTTCATGGATGCGTTGTATCCTGCATGGCGCTCCAAGTTGATCGGCATGTCGACTGATGGTGAGAATACGATGACAGAACGACATTCAGATCTCGTGACTCGCATTGTGGCGCAGGCCGAGAACGAAGTGCTCCGCATATGGTGTGCTTCTCATCAGATCAACATCGTCGCGAAATCAACGGCTGGAGATATCGACGGTGGTGATTGGATCAAATACACATACTCCCTTTCGGTATTCCTCCGTGCGCAAACCAACTTGATCATCAGCATGGGCGTGAAATGCCCCAAAAAGACAAATCGTTGGGTGCATCTGGGTCGGGTGCTGACGTTCTTCCAGTCCTACCGTCATCTGATCGTTGCCTACATCCAAAGTGAGCGTCGTGATCAGCACATGCCGAGTGATGAGTGGTGGATAATGACGTACGCGATGTCGCTGGCCATCGATGTTATCAACGTCACGTTCGCCCTATTACAAAGCAGATCCTTGTTGATCGCATAGCAGGAACACCACATTCAATCACTTATCGGATCCCTCATTAGCATGTTCGCCATCGAGATCGTGGAACTCAACGTTGAGATGTACAACGTCAACTTTGTCTCGCACGAATCGATGCGCATCAGTTCCGATGAGATCGTCTCTCACGTTCTTGACCAAGGATCATTTCTCGGTCAAAGCTATGATCGCCTGGCCGACGAAGTCAAGATCAAGATTGTGAAAGTGATAGGCAACTATGCGATGACCCTTGTGATGGGTCTGATGAACGTCAAGGCTAAGCGTGACGATCAGAATTGAGCTCTAAATCGGGATGCACCTCCGGTGACCCCACTCCAACTCGTCAAATTGCACCCCTCTATGTTCATCAAGGAGGTGCTCTTTGGAACCCTGAGAAAATCGACGACGTCGAGAAGGAGCATTGCAAGCTCTACAGCTTGTATGCGTCGAAAGCTGCTGTCTGCCGTTCCATTGACAACACCAGTGTCTCATCATCATTTGATGATGCTTGAGATATCCTATCAAGCCGATTTCGCAACCTGTGCTGCTTCTTCAGTGGATTAGCGACAGTCTTTGCCAACACTACGTCCGTTATGAGCGATTTCTACATCTTAAAATGGGAGATGGATGAGTTCTGAACCTCTCTTATGCACATGTCACTAGAGGAAATCTTGCAAACTCAGCAACGCGACCGGTTGGGCCTGAGTATGGATGCTTAAACAATCTAATACAAAATAGATATTCATCACTACACATTGTACAAATGAGCCTTGGCCGTGTGCTCAAACTAAGCTAGTTTTGCTAATTTGTACAAATGTACAAACTTATGAGTACTGCCATAGGCACCCAAAATTCATTGAGCAATTGCAATTACTTCGTTTACAATGGATGGATTATTTACCATCAACTCTTTTTGAATTTGATTTTTCAAGCTTCCTTTGAACACGTTCAAGTCTTTTGCTTCACTTATATACATGATAGATATTTGAAGATCACAAAAATTTTCAATGTATTCATGTATATCTTCTTTCTGTTTCAAATCTCACAATTTGATTCTTGCAATTTGAAGAGAGTACATCGTTTGAAAATTTTGCAAAAGTATTTACTCCATTCCACTTCACGATATGATAACACCTCATTCTCAAAGCATTCTCTTCCATGTTGTGTACTTTATGAGACACTTATCCGCAACATAATATCTCATGAATGAACATTTTTGCAATATAATCAAAAACATGAAAATAAATGAATACTCATCCTCATTATCATGCCTCTACTCTATCGATAAGAGTTGTTCCGGTTGGACTAGGAGAGCTTGAACTTGAGGTTCAACTTTCATCTTTCCAACTCTTTCTCTCTCTACTTTCTCACGCTCTAGTACAAAGATTTTATCTTACATGTTTGCTGCTTGATATGTCCATCTACTATCGCTGTTCTCAACTACTTCATCCATGATTGTGTTGAAAACCTCACCCATATCGATTGATGTTCTCATGCTTTCTCACACTCACTCTAATTCAAAGTAAGAATAATCACTATTTGAACTCTCAACAAAGAAGTCTCAAAAGTTATATGTGATTTTTTTAGAGCTCTATAGTGCTCTTTTCTTATAATTCTTCACAAGAAAATCTCTCCATAATCTTTTCAGTTGATATATTGTTTCAATTTTTACATAAATGTTGAATCAAATCGGTGAAGGTGGTTCACAATTCAAATCTATAAAACATTCAGTGTATAATGTACATTGTACAATCTCAAGTCTCTCCATAACTAACTATTGGAAGAAATGACACTGTTCACTTTGTCACTCTAGTCATAAAATATACAATTCAACAAATCACAATGTACATTTGAAAATGATATTTCTCCATGCAACGAAGGTGAATATTGAATTAATTAAGAATCGACTAATGCATTACTAGAATCTTGTCAAGTTCATCTATATCTACAAAACCACAATTTTCTTCTTTTCCACTCTCTCTACGTGCAGATCAATGACCTCTACCAACCTCCATCCACTCTCAAGAATTCCATTTCATCATCACTCATTTGCTATTCCATGAGGCGTAATCACATTTAAGGAAAAAGCAAGTTTACTCTAAAGCCATTGTATCTTTAAGTTGTAGAGAGAAACTCACTCGAATATGAAAACATAAACTCTGAAGATAAGAGATATCAACAAGTACAAAGAGATAAAATCTTATTTTCACCATTTATTTCACTCATAATGGATAAATGACGCGACAGATAATCCTAAGAAGCACACTGATTGCTAACATGACGTTCTCAACCAATACACTAACTAATAACTTCAATTCTTACCTAACAAGTATACTGATCGCTGACGTGTGACTAGTGCATACTAAAGTAATTATATAAATATTTTAAGTAACCTCTACTTTAGTTCTAACTAACTAAAAATAAACACAACTTATAATATTTTTTTTTCATATTACAAAATACATTGATATCTAGCTTGTTTTCGAGCATTGTATCCATTTTTACTTAAAATAAACACAACTTATAATTATTTTTTTTCATATTACAAAATACATTGATATCTAGCTTGTTTTCGAGCTTTGTATCCATTTTTACTAAAAAAAACTCAATGTTCATGTGGATAGAGCCAAAGATCAATTATGTTATGTGTTTGTAGAGATTTATATTTTGTTGTTTGTTGATTAGCAATAATTTAATAAGTTCTTTCTCATTTATAATATGAGCTTGAATTTTAAAATAAGTTTTTTCATAAAAATACTCTTAAAATACAATTATCTCAATTTAAAATTCATTATAATCTGGGTTTTATTCTTTAAAAAATATTTTTATGGAAAAAATTCTTTTTTTTTACATTTGAAAAATGTCATAGCATGACATTTCAGAATTTCATCGATGATATAAAAATATTAAATAGCATGAAAATTAAAATAAATCAAAATTTTTCACAAAGACCAATTAGTAAAAAAATCATATTTTTTAAATGATAAATTTGATAAAAATATTTTTGATTTTCAAATTTTCTATTCTGAATATTCTTCCAACACTAACTTTACGATGTTTTCCTAAAATCAGATATGTATCAAAAAATTGGTTGAATTTCAATTTTTTTGCATGAATTGAATCTAAAAAATGAAACTATTTTACGCAATTTTCTCCAAAAAATGTATTGTCTAACTTTTTGATTTTTCTTAAACTGTTATACTTAAAAGCTTGAACACATAACTTCCGAGAAAAAACCAATTGAGAACATGTACTTTTCTTACTTTTTTTTTCTTTCATATAAAATCTTGTACACCAAGGAAGTCCTGAGAACAAACAGATTGATATCAACCCTTGAACTTGTATCTCTTTGATGAAAGTTTTGAATATTTGATTGGAGACTTTCAATGCATCACTTCCTTGTTGAAACTTAGTCTACATAGTAGTGAGTTTCAAGATAAAAACTTCTTAAAAAGAATTTCAATTTTTTCACATCTCGTGGAGATACACTCACTTCTGCTTTGAATAAAGTTGGGGTAGAGGAAAAAAACTTCTTTACATTTACGTCTGCATTTGCAATGGTAAATTGATTTCTAAGGCTTTGTCATAAATGATGTATGCTTATCACCTGCTAGCTCAATTTATGCTATTTATCAACAAATCCTCTTTGGGTTTCTAATTTACTTGTAACTTCATTTCGTTATATCCTTTAAAGAACATGTATTTTAGTTTTCGCAACTTATGTCAATGTCACTTTGCAATTTTGTCAATGCAAATGAAGACTACCATTTCGTTGATACCGTACAAACAATGTGACTCACGTGCAATTGACTCGACAACAGAATTTATGTACTTGTTATCCAAGACTATGTCTGGCTATCTTCATTATAAATAACGTACCGAAAGTCACATCCCCTGCAATCAAAGCACTTCATCATAAGGTCAATAATGGATTCCCACGAGTCAATGAAAGATTCTCATGGCCCTCTCCCGGGAAAAATATTGGGAAAGAAATTTCATATAGAGATATAACTAATGGCAGGATCCTCCTTGATTTTATCACTTGATTCAATTATCATATTTTAGGGTGATGCGGAAGTTAGAAGTTTGTTACCAGTAAAAGCTCATTTTCATTCCTTACACAGAATTACAACCTTGATACTCTTTGAACCATTCAGAAATTCACATTCTCTTGATCACCCTT